TTTTCCTTTTATTTTAAATGTTTAATCAAATGTTTAATGTAGGTTTAGCTCCAGAGATGGTGGGTTTAAAAACGAACAGGGTGAACTGGATCTATTTCTGAGGTTCATCCGACAAGTGCTCCATGTGGGGACCCAACATGCAGGAATAACTGGACTTCTAATTTTAAAATTACATAATTTATAATTGGACAAATCATTTACAGAAACATAATACTCGCAGTCTTCTACTGAACTGCATTTGAAACTTACAAAAAAACAGCTCAGCTAAGAACTGGTGGCCGAACGTGTACAGAATTTGTCACCCACAGATTCATTATTTAAAGGCGTTGAATAGATTAAAATAAAAGACGTCTATCAAAAACAACTGTCAAAATGCTGACTGAGAAAAAAACATGCTCATAAAAGTGTTTTAATCCAAAACCAAATACCTTTTTAGAGTCCAAACACTTGGGGTTTTTATGGGGTTTATAGACAACTATATCCTGGTTTGAATTCCACAGTCCACTCTTGTGACTTCTACGGACTGTATCCAGGAGTGGCCATTTATGCCCATTGGTACATGTCTATCACTGGGAATGGAGAGATCCCGGAACTCAATTCTTGGCAATGGTTCAAAACTAGGAAGCGCTTTAAAGAAATAAATGTTCAGGTTTAGTGTTCAAGTGTAGTGTGGTTTTCCAAGAGAATACTAATGAAAAAACCTGTAAACCATCACAAACATGAAGATAGTCTGGCCATTAAGCACTAGGTTTGACTATCTTTTAAGCCCCTATACTCCGTGAAGGGCTGAGGTGAGGTTTAAATTCTAATTCAAAGCCGGTGAGTCACTTATCAAAGCGGCTCGGAACAGGGGTCAGCAAAGTAGGATGGTGCTTTAGTCCAGTCAGGAACGGAGGGGCTGACCGACCACCTCAGAGTCTTATCCGTCCTGTCAATCACAGATGAGTGCCGGTCAATAATCTACGGCTGGGCGTGGTCTGCCACGGTTCCTTTCGTTTCTCCAGCCACATGTCTCTAACAATCTGTCACGATGCATTCTTTTAGAGCACCCAATCAAACAGCATTAAACATCCAAAAGACATAAAGAGGCTAAAACGACCCAGTAGATGAATGTATAAACTGTTCTTGTCATTTTTTATTCGGTGTGTTAGAAATTCCCCATACTGACTGCAGCAGATCTGTGTTTTTACAGTTGGGACATTACAATTTACATGCTAACACATTTTTAAAAAATACAAACTTCTTCCCCATTTTAAAAAAATACCTGTTACAACTCTTGTCTGGATTGGTTTTCGAGATCTATATCATCAGTATCCGATATTTCTATTCTAAAAACAGACTTAAAACAGACCCAAACAACAACCATAAGAAATGCCAGGTGGTCACAGTTTGACTTTTTACCTGTGGGCACCCCCTGGGGCCCCCTGGGTCCTCAGCCCTATCCGGTGCACCCTCTTTCACCTGTGACTGTAACCCTTACGTTTACATTTCTGTATCCAGCAGAAGATTTTATCCAAAGTGACCTACGAAAAGAGGGTTTAACCTTCAACTACAACACCAGTTACAAACTTACCTTACCTTGAGTGCAATATGCTAGAAGAAGATTCAACATTAAGGGTTTAACATTCAACTAGAGCATAGATTACACAAGTACCATCCATTGATGCTTCATGCTATCAGGAAATAAGTGCATTTAGAGCTTTCAGGACAAGAGATACTCTGGGAAGAGCTGGGTCTTCAAGGATTTCTTGAAGGTGGTAAGAGAATCTGATGTTCTAATAGTGCTTGTAAGGTCTTGCCACCAGCGTGGATTGGAACCATAGATGAGAAGAGTTTCCATTTGATGCGAGCAGCTAAGGGAAGCCAAAGGTGAACAGGGGGGTGACATGTAATGTCTTTTACTGGTTGAAAACCAAACGGGCTACATGATCTGTAGCGGTCTTACAGCACAGGCCAGAAGGCCTGTTAGGAGGGCATTGCAGTTGTCGAGGCGGGAGATGACCTTACCATACCTAGCCCTTCCCACAAAGACCGCACGATCCTGAAGTATGCGAAAGACACCATATAGTTTTGTAACACTAGTGGGGAACTGGCAAATCTGGTCCCATGGGGAGAGATCAACAACCCAACCCTCAACCCAGAAAAGATGACAGGTGACATGAGGAAGGAAAGTAGGTCAGCCAGTAGTCATTGGATGCTAAGACCAGGGGGTGCACACCAGGGAGAACCTCACCCAGGAGAGTGAACACCACATAGCTGGTGAAGAAGGTTCAACAACAGGTGTGTTTTCTAAGGACACTCAGGAAGTTTGGCGTGTCGGCCGAGATCTTCAGAAAATTCTGCAGCTGCATCTACGGGAGCATCGCGACCAGCTTTACCACCGAAATGGTCAATTCAAGACCATCAGGCTCAAGGACTCTTTCTTCCCTGCTAGTCATGAACTAGTACCAGTACTCTGACTGGCCCTCTTGCAGACAGCAAAGTAAGAATTTTATTGTTAGGAAAATTGTGTCTTTTGTGCCTTTGACAATAAAAAAACATGCAATCTTTGAACATGACTGGTCAGGGTAGTATATTCTCCTACACTGTGGCAGAAGAGGACAAACTTTAAGAGGCAGTTTGTGTAACTGGAACAATAGGCTGCATTCACAATGCTAAGAGGGCTCCACATAACAACAAATTTGTGTACGGGAAATAGAAAGCATGCGTATTCTATTATTGTTAAAGTCACTGGTGACTCCATCTTGTACCTGACTAATTTATCAATGGAATGGCTCAATCCACGACTCCATTTTCCTGGTGCAAAGCAGTGTAACGAGTGAAATAAAAGTTAGGAGATTCTAACTAGTCAGGCCTGATGTACTCCACACTCTTCTGCTTTCCCCTCAGGCCATGGCCCCTGACAGGATACGTGCTCTGTTGCTGCTCATGCGGTCGACTCGTGGACCGGAGGGGCAACTTTCTGTTTTTTGTTTTTTTTTACTGTTTTACTTCTTTAATTTGACGTTCTTTATTTATCTTCTCATTTTTTCCGTTTTCTACATTCCTGACTGGTTACTCTTTGTCTGACTTTAAAGATATGTGTTCTCTTTTTATCATCTTAAATTAAGGATTTTGCTTTTTTTTTTTTATTAATCCCACAATGCAATTAATTTAATTTATTTAAATAGAATTATATATTCGATTTAATAAATAAAATGATGTGGAATTATTTAATTTCCCTCTGGGATGAAGAAAGTATTTTTTAACTGAACTGAATTTGAATATTTCGGGATGGGTTTTTACACCCTGCAGTGTCTGTTTCTCTATGAATTTATGTCTGCTGTCACCATTTTCCCAAATAATAAACCCTAGTGGACCTAAGAGCTCAGAGAAATCCTTAACAAGGATTTTTCAAAACATTTTTACCGGCTCTGAATCAGAAAGATGAGGGGAGGGTTCAGACCCTCTTTCTGAGCACTTTGAATGAATTAACAAAACCAGAGCCGTAAATGACCTGAGATCCATGGATCTCACCTCCCTTGCTATGAAATCCATGGAGAGGGCCATAAAAAAACGACTCACCAAATTGGAGAGACTCCAATATACTTAAGGTGCAGCCAGAGGCGTGGATGAAGTTTTTTAGCATGGAATCTGTTCCCACATCCTGGTCCCCACACATGGATGACCAGTTAATCCTGTGGATCCTGTGGATCTGGGTTTTCTTATCCACAGATGTACTGCAGATCCACCCAGCCCAACTGGTTCATCGTATTTGTGGGAGGTTAGCCAGGTTTGTCGGCTAACCTGATGCCATCTGTGTGAACTGAAGATAAGACATTGGCTTATTGAAAACAGCTGAAAATACAGAAAAAACAAAACAGAACACAGATTTAGAGAAAAGTCTTATTGTTTTGGAATTAAACTAACAATCACAGGTGTATGAAGTGATGGATTCCTATATCCAGATGGATATCAGGTTTCCAATTCTCCTTTCTGATATTCCTTGGAAGGTTTTGTTGACTCCTGTGACCTTTACTTGAATGTGGCTCGACAGAAAATGGGGCAGAGAGAGGGAGAGAGGTGGAGACAAGCAGAAAAGGGCTATGAGTCCAAATCTAAATTTGAACGGATGATGGAGAAATTCCAAACAGCAAAAACGTTTATTACATTATTTGCATCTTAAGATTTTTTCTTTTTTGTATCATCTTAATGCTATTTTCTTTTCACAAAGTCGTCAGGTTTATCTTTCTGGTTCTGATCTTAATTGCAGAGCAGATTCAAAATATTCAATAGATACAATTTTTAAACTAATAGGCACACAAAGTGCCTATTAGACTCTTTAAAACAAAGATGGGAAGGAGATATTGTAAATTAGATATAGGATGATGTTTGGCACTATTCAGAATATATCTTAATACACATAGTAACTCGTTTTAAGATCATAGACGTCCCTTATCAAAAGACAGATTAGCTGCAATCTGCAGTAACGTTTATCTAAAGTCTAAATAGTATCTCCTTTAGTTCTAAGCTCCAGTTATCTGTGACCCTGCTTAGAATAAGTGGGTGTTGAAAATGGATGGATGAGTATTCTGTATTGATTTGAGTTTATTGTTCTCTTTTTGCATTTATTTCCTTTTGGAGTACTGTTTCATCTACACATTTAACTTCCATGCACTGTCCCTTTCTGTTCTGAAAAACAACAACAAATAGATATAAACAGACTTTTGGAATACAGAAATAGTCTAAAATTATTCTTCCCACTTTTAAAGATCCCATGAAAATCATTCACAATATTTTAAAGATCTCCCAATAAGATTTTCCCAACGAAGGACTTTGCTTTCCATTTTCAACATTGGACTTAAAACCTTTTTTATGACAGAGCTCATTGTTGTGTTAAGAAACCCTGAAACATTCCAGTGTTATGCCAAAATCGGAGGACCTCTCACTCTGCTCTCTTGAATCGCCCTGTTATATGGCATTATAGTCAATCATATCAACATTAATAAAATACAAGAGACGAATTTGTGAGAAAATCCCATCGTAATATCCATTATTATAGTGACGATACGCATCTTACGTACGAAAAGAGTAGACGCAAGAAATGGAGTTGAATGGGCCAAATTCCGAGCTTTGTTGCAGCAATTAAATGCATCGGGCTTTCTCATTGGCTGCCACTTGGGGCCAAACAAAGTTCAGCAATACACGCTCGTACCTTTTAGCACAGACGAAAGAGACAACGGTCAAAGACAAGGGTAGAAACTCCTTTCGACGGGATCATATTGGAAATCACTGACCAGATTTGAACTGGCTGAAGAGTTTCCTCTTTTAATGGTTGAATATACACAGCCTCGACAGCCGAAGCAGGAGGCCTTTTACGAACTCACGACCGCGTCTTGTGTCTTTTACTATGCTTGATAAGTTAGCTGTTAGCTTAGCAAGAAATTCACTCACTCGCTCGTTCACGTTAATGCAGCGCCTCTAACCTCTGGAGCAAAGGGGAGTACGGACATATGCTTTTGGTTTTTCATGCTTTGTTTCTCCGAACGTCGCTTTTGGACGTTAGGACCGACGAGGGAAAATAAAGTGGGAAGGAATTATCCACTAAACAAGGAAGTCAAAGTGAAATAGGTTACTAGCCTGCGTCCTCGCGGGCAAACCCGCTCCCGCTACGACCAATAAACAAGTCCCAAAAAAAAACAGTAAAGGAGGGCAGTCTCCTACTGTTGACGGATTTGGTGTTGGCACACCATTTAGCACTTTGTGCAACCGTCTTTTTTTTTTTTCTTCCGGAGACAGCCAACCAGACATTACGGGCATGATTCCTGACAAAGTCCCGAACCGGGGCGTCTATCACGGGTGTCCGGAGCTGAAGAGGGACGCTCACGTCCCCAGCTTCGAGAAGTACAAAGAGCTGTACGTGGAGTCCGTGGAGCATCCGGATGGTGAGTCACCGCCCGTTTGTGATTTTATTTTAGCACGAACAAACACGTTCCACGCGCCGAGATACGTTCAGAAACTTTGCCCAGGGCGCGTGCCCGCAGGATGCTGTCCGCGCTCATCCGCACGCGCAGCGGCGATCTGATAACGCTGTCATCCCCTCTGCAGCAGAGGGGAAAACACGCCTTTTTCTTTACTTTATGGGCTTTAAAATTAAGCAAGATCACTTTTGAGACATTCAATTTAATTCATGGAGCATAAGGCCATTTGAATATTTTAGTAAAAAAGACACAATACAAGATTTTCTTTGTGATGGACTAACACATCTGGAGGATACAACTGTGATCTGAATTATTCCTACATGTACAGGACTGTCTCAGAAAATTAGAATATTGTGATAAAGTTCTTTATTTTCTGTAATGCAATTAAAAAACATGAAATGTCATACATTCTGGATTCATTACAAATCAACTGAAATGTCGCAAGCCTTTTATTGTTTGAATATCGCTGATTATGGCTTACAGCTTCAGAAACCCAAACATCCTATCTCAAAATATTATAATATCGGATCTTTGAGTTTTCTTCAGCTGTACGCCACAATCAGCTATATTAAAACAATAAAAGGCGTGCGATATTTCAGTTGATTTGTAATGAATCCCGAATGAATGACATTTCATGATTTTTAATTGCATGACAGAAAATAAAGAACATTATCACCATATTCTAATTTTCTGAGACAGTCCTGTATATGTCCAGCAAGGATCAAATATCTGTGAGTTCCCTGCCGATTCTAGAAGAAATGGGTGCTTTGATCCATTGCTGCATGTAAAACTGATATAAAAGAAAGCTATGATGGGGCTTTTCTTTATCTAAATGAAGTATCTAAATGATGGTTTCCTTAACAGCAGATATCACTGAGCCTGTCAGTGTGACTGCAGCTGTTATTTGTGCAAACCCTCACATGCAGCACTGTCAAAATCCTCCTGTGGTCCAACGGTATTTCACAACACACAATTTTGCAAAAGTGCAGTTACATTTAACCCCCTCAAAAAACGTTTCTCTTTTAATTGGAAGAATAATGACACGTAGTCATGTTAAAACTCTTTATAATCCAACTAAAAGCACGTGGAGGGATGTGAAGACAGACGTGAATCAATGGGATGTTTTCTTTCCTGTTAATCTTTGACACGTTTTTCACTTCTAAGAAAACACAAAACAATTCACAATGGGTCCTGTTCCTGCCTTGCAGAGTTCTGGGGCGCCATAGCTAAAGACTTCTTCTGGAAGACCAAGCCCACCGGCCCCTTCCTTGACTACAACTTCGATGTAACCAAGGGAGAGATCTTCATCAAGTGCATGGAGGGAGCCTCCACGAACATCTGCTACAACGTCCTGGACCGCAACGTGCACGAGAAGAACCTCGGAGACAAAATTGCCTTCTTCTGGTGTGTGTTCTGTTTGAGGACCCTTTACACTATCTGTCTTGTGAAACAGAACAATGATGTTGGAGCTGGATGTATTTATTTTAGGGCTGAAACGTTAACGCCTTCATTTCTGTTAAGTAATTCCAGATTTTTTTAAAAAGATGTTGCAATCACTATTTTTTCAGTTCCCTGATTTCTTACAAACTTGATGGTTGGCCAACTTGCAAAGGAGTTGCACAGAAGTGTATCCTGCGATTACACCCCCTCCCCCAAACAAATCCCCAAAACAATTGTTACTTTTGAACCTTGAAATGGATAAACTGTGCTTTCTCTGGCAAATATTGCTTTTTGATTAAAAAAAAAAAAAAGTTTAATCAACACTATTTAGTCTCACGATTGGATTCCTTCTTTTAATGGTATCTTATAATGTATTCATTTTGAGTCGACAGTTTCCTATTTTTTTTTTATTTGAATTTTCGGTCAGTTTTAAGGTCTCTGCTGCAGTTTTCAGCCCAGATTCAACCACCTTTATACATATGTTGAGTTGCTTTGACTCCCTTGTTCTAAGTCTAAGAGGATTCCAGCACAGTTTGCTTCCCACCCAAAGACCTTCACATCTTTGTTTAGAAATGGAAGAACCTATACTTTTTATTTAGATTTTTAGAAATAGAGTCTGATCTATTCATTCTTGTGGACGGCCTTCTTTTTAATTAGAAAGGAAGCACAAGTTGTCAGAATATTTAACGTTTTATGCTGTTGATTCACGCTAGGTCTGATCATTCAATGCAACCAACGGTGTGAGCCATTTCAATGACAGTGGTTAAAATGTTCTCTTCGGTTGTTGCTTCAGGGAAGGCAATGAGCCGGGCGACGAGTTGACGGTGACCTACAGACAGCTGCTGAAGAAAGTTTGTCAGTTTTCCAATGTTCTGAAATCACAGGGTAAGTAAAAGTTAATCTTCTTATTAGGAAAAAGATATCCAATCCATCTCATATCTATCTACAGTGGAGGAAATAAGTATTTGAGCCCTTGCTGATTTTGCAGGTTTGCCCACTTACAAAGAATGCAACGATTTATAACTTTAATCATATGTACATTCTAACAGTGAAAGACAGAATCCCAAAGAAAATTCCAGAAAATCACATCATGTGAATTTATAAAAATTGATAACCATCTGATGAGGAAAAACAAGAATTCTTTGTAAGTGGGCAAACCTGCAAAATCAGCAAGGGGTCAAATACTTATTTCCCCCACTGTATCTTTTTTATATATCCATCTATCTATCCTGTATCTTGTTAATCTATCTAATGTACCTAAATAAACATTGGCTGTGTTCTTCTGTCCATCTAAAGGAGTGAGGAAGGGCGACCGGATATCCATATACATGCCCATGGTGCTGGAGCTGGTCGTCGCCATGTTGGCCTGTGTCCGCATCGGAGCCGTTCACTCCATAGTCGTGAGTTTGAGAATAACGTAAAAGAAAAAGTCAAACGACCAGTGAGATTTGCTTCACACGAGAGCCGAACCGCTCACGCGCTGCTGCCTCTAGTTTGCAGGTTTCTCAGCTGAATCTCTGTGTGAGAGGATTCTGGACAGCCAGTGTTCGTTGCTCATCACAGCAGGTCAGTTCCAGAGAAGAAAGAGCAAAAATATAGTGATTTTTTTCAAAGCATTGTGCTTGTATCACTGGATGGTGGTGTTTGCTGTAAATGGTCACATGGGGGTGGAGGCTGTAAAGTCATAGAATCATTTAAAAAATCATCTACAATAATCGACTATAACTATAAACCTTCTAAACCTTTGTGTTTGTTTTGTGTATTAGGCATTAACAACATTTCTTAATGACTGTTAATGGTGTAATGAAATTGTACCTTCGTTGTTACCCCATTTTAAATAAGTGGGGGCTACCTTCCAATCAGCACCTGGCTATTCATAACCTGGTTGAAATACAACAATACTACAAGGAGAAAATTATTCAATTGGGAACAGGACATCAAATCCAATTACTTTCAGCTTTCTTTGGTTTTATATTCTTTGGACGTTAACCTCCGAAAGCCCACTGTGTTTTTTTTGTTTTAAAAAAAACAAAATATCTAATTTCATTAACCTACTGATGTTCTGTGGTTCTTCCTTGATTCCCTCTTTACAAACCCCCCATTTTTTCTATTTGTTCGGGGTTAATTGAAGGCCACACCGAGTGCTGTGTTTAATGATGTTTCTGTATTTATGCCAAATTAATAGTTTACTACATATGATTTTGGTTAATCTGGTTTTAGCTAGAGCTAACATGTTTGTTTTTTAAGCCAAAGCTGCTCTGACTGCTCCATAAATTAAGCTAATGTTGTTTATGTTTATGCTTTTAGCCAAAGTGACTTACAATGCAGATAGATTAGTTAGCATCAACCTCATGAAATGAGTCTGGTTTGTGTTCATCGTGGTGTAGACACTGTTAGATCACAATCCAGTGATGACGGGAGTGACCAAGTTTTGACATTATCTTTTGCAAAGCTATTCAAGTAGATGGGAGCCGTGCCCTTTAGCGATTAATAGGCTAGCATCAGTGACTTCCTGTCTAGTCCTGCTGCATTCTGGATGATTTGTAGAGGGTTTACAGCACAGGCAGGGAGACTAATCAATAGTCAATGTGGGAAATAACCCTAGACTGCACCAGGAGCTGGGTGCCATGTTGGTTTTTGGGGTTGATACATCTGGATCGTTCTAATGTTTAGTCATAAGTAATCAGATAATAATAAAATCAAATGACCTGTGCATTCTCCATTTCACCAGATGGCTTCTATCGAGGAGATAAGCTGATCAACTTGAAGATCATAGCTGATGAAGCACTGCAGAAATGCAGAGACAAGTAAGCTCTTTATGCATTTACACACACACACAGACACACACACACTGAAGTGGTGGTGCAAAAGCAGCTTAGATGCAGTTCCAGGTGATATATCTTTAATCGATGCCTTCACGCTTGCAGAGTTCAGCAGTGATGTGCTCTCAATCGACCCCACATGCAAATGATTGCTCTAACTTCAGCCTGATGGAGTCCATCGATTTGAAAATGGATGAATAGTAACATAGGAGGCTACATTGAATTAAATAATGTTTTTGAGATTTTTTTTTTCGTTTTTTGAATAATAGTATTTTTGACATGTTTTTGACATGTTTTAGACTGGATTTTAAACCTGACTACAGTCCTTTTAAAAAAAAAACAACAATTTTTTAAAGGGCTTTTGACCGCATTTTGTAGGTAATAGCTCTGGTAACTCTATTATCCTCTAGATTTAGACTTAGCCTCTGTGTGTGACACTGGTGAGCATTAGGTAGCTATCTATTAATTTTTAAAGTTCTGCTGGATGGTCCTGGTCAGCCCTAATTGTCCTTCTTCAGCAAAAAGGTTGCTTACGAGGAATGCTGACCATCTTATTGGGTTAACACAAAATGCAAGTTTAAGGTTAGAGGAGACTCTGGAGCAGGTTGCTTCTAGATGTCATTCAGACTTATTCCCTGTTTTTAACCCTTTTTGAAAATCACATGCTTTTTGCCACTGTTAAGAGTTTTCAAACTGCTATTTGAAGTTGTTTGACTTGTTCTGCCAATTAATCATGTTTGTGTTGGATATGTTTTTAAATGTATATTTAGTCTGTGTAGTACTGCTAGTTGCATTGTTTTCGTCTTTATTTCTTTGGATCCTTCAGATTTATATGAGTCTCTTCATAGTTCCGGTTTTACCTTGTTTCCGGGTGCACAGACAATAAAGTTGTGTTAATGAACACATTGTTTCGCTGTCTGTGCAGAGGCTTCCCCATAAAGAAGTGTATAATGCTTAAGCACCTATCCAGAGGACCGGGAGAGGTCGTGGGTTCAAATTCTCCTCCGGCCAAGCGTTTGTGCCCTGATCTCCAGGTACGCAAGTCAAACCTTTCCCATGATTTCCTGTTATATGTTGATTTATTATGTAGTTGTGTCATGGCAGAGCCCATAAAATTATTATCATTGTACATTCTTTTAAGTGTAATATCCTTTTATTCACAGTAGTTTGAGGGGTCTGGAATCCAAAACAAGTAGAGCACGACAGTTACTATATTCTCCTCAAATTGAACAGCAAATATAAGTGGTCGTTAGAATTTGGCCCAATGAAAGAAACAGATTCCAAAAAATATATATATATATCATGGAAAAGTTGATTAATTTCCCTTAATTTCCATTCAAAAAGCTAACTTTCATAGTTTATAGGTGCAGAACCCACAATTTAAACAACTTTAAGAATTTGTTTGTTGCATAATTTGGGGTTCTATATCATAAAACCCAACAAAACAGGAATTCAAACTAAAATACTGTGTAGAAATTAACCCAAATTTTGCAGGGCATGAATCTTTTAAACCGAGTGTCACACATTCACCATCTACTAAACTCAAAGCACCTGCACGGGTTTCCCAAGGTGTCATAAAACCACTTCAGTTTGGTTCAATATGTAGAAATAAGAGAGTGGAATGATGAGGGAGACAAAGTTTAAAAAAACACCACATTCAGACGCATCTGGGACATGGGTGATTTAAAAATGTATTTATTTTTGGTTGTTGTTGGGGTTTTCCCAAGAAATGGCCGAGCGTGGGTATAAACACTCCTGGCCAAAGAAAAACAAAAGGTTTAAAACACTGAGCACTCGGTATGTGACACATTATTGTGTCGTTACTTTCAGTTTGCTTTGCTGTTTGCACAGGATATCAGATACTAGTCGCATGCATTTGGAAATGTGACCGAGCATGCAAACAAAAAAAACTGATTTGACCAAAAATGGCAATTGAGCATTAAGGCCTGCAGTGTGAATGTTGCCCTTGTTCACATGCCTTGACAAATGTAGCTTTCAAGTCCTGTGAGAATGGCTTAAGAAACAAGAAAAAACAGAAAAAAAACTGAAGGCTGCTGTTGACATTTTCAGGCTGTTGAGTGACTTCTATTAAAATCCACGAAATAAATGCCTTAAACTCCACAAAAAACTTAGAATGGAGGTAGTGTAGTAAGATTTTGTAATCTTGAACGTGTTATTGTGGTTAGTTATTAACTTAGAAACTGATATTTATTGCAAAGTAACACATTGACAGAATCTATTGGGCCAAATATGGGAAAAATGTGTTCTAATTTAGCTATTTTAGTTAAGTTTAGAACTAAAGTCTGGAACTTAATATCCAGACTTTACCTACTAAGGCTGAAATGGTGACATTTCAACAACAGATGATAGCATGTCCCGTCCTGCCTTCGTACAGAAGAGACATTTCCTAATCGCTCACCTCCTTGATAAACAAGAAGTGGTTTTACTGCTTGATAGTCTTCAGGACGATAGACATGAGTAATGACGCAAACGAATACAGTTATCCAAAGCTAAAAAAAAACACACCACTCTTTTGGTTTCTCTCCTCTTCGTCCCTTCAAATCAAAGTCTGTCTGAAAAAGAAAGTTCCCACTCTCTGTTAGTTAAAATAACAATACTCTGGACATGGAAACCCAACACTGGAACCATGGCTGTAGGTAAAGGGTTAAAGCTAGAACAGACCTCATCATCTCTGTCATGTTTGAAGATATTTAAAACTGAAATCAATTGAATGATTCGATTTAACATTGGTAACTTTTTTTACATTTTTATCTAGATGAATCCAGTTTTGTTTTTAGAAATGAACGACTCAAACTAATAAATCTCCTCTTTTTCCTCTTTCTCCTTTCGTCCCTGTCTCATCGTAAAGGAGAAACAGACTGGAAAAGTAAAGAAAAAGCGCACCCCTGTGCAGGTATTTTTACCATCAGGTTACTCTACTTGACCCCTCTTTCATATGTGTTTTCACTTACATTTTTAAAGGAAAAGTTAATTGAGCCATCATATTTTGTATAGAAGAAAACAAAAAAAGTGAAACGGGCATTTATGGTAAACAATTGAGTTTAATTTGGATGGTTATTTCTTGGATCATGGTAACAGTAAATTTTCAGTTAAAATTGATAAAAGTAAAAAAAAAAAACATGTTATAATGAGTGTATATTATGCATTTATTTTAGAATTATCACCCTGCTCTAGAAGGCACATGCACTAGCCCACCTAAGGTTTGCCAGTAAACATTTAAGAGGTCTTAGGAGGCTTAGTTTGGTCAGAATAGTAAGAAATGAGGGCTGTTTGGCATCAATGCAACCTATTGAGCTTTAAGAATGGATCAATTACCTAAAGAACACCATCCATCCTCCAACCTGGAAGTGACTTCACCACTTTAAAAGGCCTATGAACAGGTGGGAATTTGAGTTTCCCTCATGGGAGATTAATACAATGTTATATTTTCTGTTTGCTAACCAATACATTTGATAAAGAACCATAGAATCTACAAGCCGCTGCCCTCTTTGTGAGCTAACTTTTTTAAATAAATGAGTCAGCAGGGGATCTAAACATAATTCCCCTATAGATCTGTTATTTAAATAAATAATGAATAAGTCTTTGTTTGTTTTTTTGCTTCTTCTATGACAGAAAGTTGCATCTCCATGGACTATCACTTTAATCATTCAGTCCATGGTCGCATTCTGTTCTATAGACCACGGTAACCTGGATTTCATCTGTTTAGGTGTTTATTCGTATTTTTGTTCAAACCCTCGTTTTCGTCATCTAATTTTCTATAGTTTGGAACACATTGATCCATTTAAGTTGTTAGTAATTTGTTCTGTGGTGTATTCTGCTGTTTATCAAGAAAACTAGTTAGATGTTTTCTACCCTGCTGCTTTTAGCCGTCCTCCGTATCTGACCTGATTCATGTGTTGTGTTTATATGGTTTTAAAGTTAGACCCAGGTGACTAGAAATAAACATCATCTTTTCTTTTTCTTTTTTTTTTAATTGAGAGAAAAATTAGCTGAAAATTCAGTACAGTGTTTCCACCGGCAGTTCTCATGTTGGGGTTTTTATTATTTTTCATATTTTGTTTGTCAAACAAGTGAAACAGCTTGAAAAGTTCTTTAATTCTTTAATTATTATATTCTTATTTATTATACTTTATTACTTATATAAATATTTATTTGGTTTAACATAATTGTTTGTTTATATTTTTCATAATTCATTTAATAATTTTCTTCATATATATTTTTTTCTTCTTGCAACTGCAGACATATTTACATTTTGAAACTTTGGCAGTGCAAGATACAGATTGCAAGTGAATTTTATCATTTTTTTCCCTCGCATTCGAGTGATATCAGTAGACAAAGGTGCTTTCATGTCATGCTTAGCTTGGTAAGAATGATTATTTGGTATAATAAAGTGATTACATTTTTATGAATGAAAATAGCTTGATTTTATTATCGCTTTGGTTTTAGTTGTTCTGTTGGGTTTTTTTTTTCTCTCCTCTTATTTGATTCCCAACACCTTGCCCTCCCTGTATATATGTTTTTCGTATTTGATGTGAATGACTGTCTGATTTGTGCATTTCTTTCTCATACGAGGTTCCCTGGAACCCAGAGGTGGACTTGTACTGGCACACACTGATGGACGCGGCTTCGGACGAGTGCGAGCCCGAGTGGTGCGATTCTGAAGACCCCCTCTTCATTCTCTACACCAGTGGTTCAACCGGCAAACCAAAAGTAAAGGAGCCACAGAAATGGCAGTGACTTATCATAAAACTGTTGCAGTGAGCTTTAACATGAAAGCGTAAAAGCCTATTCATGTTTTCTTCTCACTTTATGCACCAACTGATTTGTTTTTTTCCAGTCTTTACATTAACTGTTAAGACCTAAGTGTAACTTACCTATATAGATAAAATTAGTTCCTAATATTGAGCTTCTCACAAGATTAGGCTTTCCCAGTCTAGTTCTCGAGACAAAATGTGTTTCAGAGTTTGCTCTCGGTATTTAAAAAAGTATGAATATGCATCTGGTTAGATGTTTTTCTCTGTTCATAGATTTAGTTGTCATCATAGTTTTAGGTCATTTTCATATTTAGTGATGATAAAGAGTGAATGAGGCATGTTTATATGCTTCGACCTTTGTCTACCTGTAAAGTTTCAGCTCTTTCTGGACATATATTAACATCTTAAGAACTGAAGACTGAGTCAAATGAGGCGTAGCTGAATTAGATTTTATGGACCTCAATGAAAACAAAAGCAATTCGATGCTGGCTTTATTGTAAATTTCTCAACATACCAATCTTATGAATGATTGACCAAGTATTAAATAGGGTTGTTTTCTTTGCATGTCTCCATAGAGTAGATTATTCACCCGTCCTATCAGGTTTTACTGTTACAGATCCTCCTGTGTGGTTTTACAGCATGGCTGCTGTTTTTCTCTCCCCTCTGCAGGGAGTGCTTCACACGGTCAGCGGCTACATGCTCTACACCGCCACCACCTTCAAACTGGTGTTCGACTACCAGCCCGATGACGTGTACTGGTGCACAGCCGACATTGGTTGGATCACCGGACACTCCTACATCACCTATGGGCCCCTGGCCAATGGGGCCACCAGTGTCTTGGTGAGTGAAAGTCAACAGATTCGTCTAGCTTTATGCTTTAAGGGGGCAGAGTGCGTCCAGTTTGGATACTTTTTTTTTTTGGGCTTTAAATCCCTGTTTTTTATTGGATTAGAGCTTTATTTTTGAGCACTTTACAGGAAATTGAAGCATTGATTTTCACCTTGCTTCCAAAATGTATGTTTATTTAAATAAATTGATTTAATTTATTTATTATCATTCAATTAATGCAAACTAGACACCCTTTAATGACAAAAATATTATTAAAATGGTTTTATTTGACATAAAGCAAAGAACGGTGAGCGTCTACACTAGTGGTTTTTAACCGTTTTTGACCATTCAGTGATCCTTGTAATTGTGCGTTCCAGTTCGAGGGCCTGCCCACCTACCCGGACGTGGGCCGGATGTGGGAGATCGTGGACAAATACAGCGTGACAAAGTTTTACACGGCTCCCACCGCCATCCGGCTGCTCATGAAGTTCGGCAGCGAGCCGGTGCAGAAGTGAGTCCCCACACTCACCCCGTTTCTTTTGTTAACACTTTTTTATTGTTTCTTTATTAAAGAAAAAATAGACTTATGGGAGGAATAAAAGAAGAAAGGGAGGAAATAAGGGGGGAAACATCCAAACATAAGCATGCTGCTGGTTCTTCTTGAATTTTGATCGTTAGTGTCAACAATTTCATTACATAATGAACCAATGCTGTGTTGGAGGCTCTGATTTGTACCACTCTTTTGTGATTTGCTTCTGGCAGAATGCTGACAAAATCTTCAGTAAATATCTGTCCTCTTTTAGTACAAGACTGCTTGACATGTTTCCCTGGTGCACTTGTACACACGTCATAGCTGTATTATAACCCAGAATCTTAATGTTTATCTCCCAAACACATGCAAATGATCTGTATTCATAACAACACATTTTTTTTCCAACATGGCTGCAGCACAGCACAATCGAATTGAGTTCTTCCAGCAGAATAATCTCCAAACCTGTGACGATGTGCACGTCTGCTGTGCTGCCATTCATCATCTGATCATCCCTCCCAGTTCCCAGTTTTGTTTTCCATAAGTGGTAGCATTCCCTTTTCTCCCTATTAAGTATTTGTACGTTTGGATGTGATTCTATATTTCTTAGAATTTTAGGTGGAGGTACTTTCCATATTTTTTTCCAGGTTCTACTCAAGACAAAAAAAACAACTTATTTTGAAATATTAGAAATGCTTGTGTTTTCACTTTCACTGATGCCGATACCAGCGTTGGGTTTCTATCTGATATGCGGTGTGTGTAGTCTGATATTACACAGCACTATATCAGTATGATGGGAACTTTATTTTCCATTCAGGAACCGGTATGTATTTGTACACCACTTTTCCCAGCACAGGAAGGGGATTTAATACACCATGAAATAAAGGCAAGCCACATGTTAATGAAGAAGACTTAAGGAAGCATAACCTCATGCAGCCTGAGAGGTGAGAAGGATCTAAATCACAGTTGCATAATGGGAACGATCTTCCCAGTATTCTGCCACTTCCCACTTCCTCTGAACACAGTCAGTTGAGATTCCATGTTCCAGATCTCCTCTTTTTCCAATGAGAAAACTCCTCTGCAGCTCTGTGTTGAAGATCTGACCCATGAGAGGGTCATCAAAAGGGTTCGCTGCTCTCGCTCACCACTCTTTGGTATTTACAAGGTTTGTCCTGGAGTCCATTTTAGTCCCTGGATTCAAATTACCACGAGGCAGGGATCAATTGAAACCTCTGCTTTCGGTTTCTGTGACACGCTGGTCACTAACGCTCACAGTCTCAGGTCTTAACACACAACTTCACACCCAATCATCAACCTAACCCATGAACTGCCATTGTAAAAAGCATACTTACAAAGAAAAGCTCCTTGGTTGAGATCAGAGGGGTCGTTCTTTCCCATAAATCCTCTGGAGCTTACTTTGTATTTGCCCTAGGTGGTGTGTTGTCAATCGGACATATGATTCTCACATGATGAAGAAAAGTAGTTTAGTTTAACTTTGTTATAGACAAATAAAAGTAAGTTGCTACCTTTTGTGTGTTTCTGCAGGTACACGCGGAAGTCGTTGAAGATTTTGGGGACAGTGGGAGAACCCATTAACCCTGAGGCTTGGCAGTGGTACTACAAGGTGGTCGGCGAGGAGAGATGTCCTATTGTTGATACCTTCTGGCAAACTGAAACTGTTAGTACTGATTCCATTCTTTACTCACATCCAGGGTGGGGTGCAGCCCCCCCCCCCCGCATACAAGGCGATGCCATCTTTTCCCTTGGTCTTCATATCTGACTCCATCTGGACTCTAGGTCTTAAACATCCTCCACAGAAAGAACATAAAGACCTAAAAGCCTCCCTTTGTTCCAGGAATCCGTAGTTTAACCAGCAAGGTGAGACCCAGCTGGACCAGATGCAGCCTCTGCTGCTTTTCTTTGGCTGGAACAGACCTGCTCAGTGGAGTTTAGAGAGTAGCACACCAAATCCAGGGTTCATGTTTTTAGGATTTAGGGGGAAGATGCAGAAAAAGGCTCCCAGATGCAACAGGACAAAGGCAGCAGGCTAAGGAGGCAGCAGGTAGAAGCAGGTCTGCTCTCAACCAGAGAAGAAGTGGAATCCATAGGGCATTTAGAACAATATACATTTCATTGTGCCCCCTCAATCCTCTATGGCCTTTGCCCCCCCCCCCCAAGAAAGAAATCCTGGAAACTTCCCTGCTTCCATCTAATGTAAAGCTGGGTTTTCCTCAGTTAATGGAATTCTTTATGATCTGGGCTAAAGAAAATAGATAAAAAAAATTGCATCAAAACTGGACATCTGGCCTGGTAGTTACAGTTTATAACTACGAATGAAAAAGTTGTAAAGAATCTAACCGAGTATTGTTTTTTTTGGTTTGCTTTTTTCAGGGAGGACATGCATTGACTCCCCTACCAGCGGCTACACCAATGAAACCGGGATCTGCGGTAAGGAGGCACAAACAAATAAATAGAAATATGATATATATGGCTGAATTATTTCTGTTTAGAATATGTATGCATGTGTGTAATAAAAAAAAAACAAATAAAAAAACAGAGATATATATAGATATAGTGTAGCTAATGAATAAGAGATTCAATTTCATTGATTTATTTTTGTTTGTTCCAAAAGACATTTCCTTTCTTTGGAGTGGTGCCAGCCATCTTGAGTGAGTCTGGTGAGGAGCTAGAGGGCCCAAGTGAAGGTTATCTGGTAAGAAACCATATAACTGCTGCACTTCATCGACTTGGTTCTTCTATTACAAAGATCAGCACCTTAGGAACTCATTGTAACAGAAGAGGAATCTTATGGTAACAAGATTCAGGTGCGATATTCATCTCCCTGCTGTGCTTTTTGTGAGTGTAAATGTATGTATTTTTTTCCCCTTTCTCTCCCACTGGGTCCCAAACAATACACAAATAATATACTGTTACTTATGTCCCTTATTTAAAGATTTATTTTAGTACTTCTTATTATTTTGTCTTCTAATTTAAAACAAATTTTTTTGCTCTGCTATTTTGGGGATGTTTTGTTTATCTTCTTAATCTCCCAAATTGTTCATAGTTGTGTGTTTAGGATTGTTGTTCATATAACAACAAAACAAAAAAAGATGGCATTTGACCTGAGTATTTTTCATCGCTTCACATCAAAACTCTGTTTTTCTGACTCAAAAATAAAGAATATATTTTTTTAAATGATCACGATTCAGTTGTGCTTTGTTTTTGGATTGACAGTTGTACTCTTATTATACTCTTCTTTTGCATGCAGGTGTTCAAGCGGCCATGGCCAGGGCTGATGAGGACGGTGTACGGAAACCACCAGAGGTTTGAAACCACCTACTTCAAGAAGTTCCCCGGATATTATGTCACAGGAGATGGTGAGAAACAAAACATACAGAAACGTACTTCACAAGCTTTGTACCCAAGTCAGATGATCATGGCTGATAGAATTTTTTTTCTTTCTTTTTTTTTTCAAATCAGAAAAGAGCGTGTAAATGTTTGCAGTATTTCAACCCCTGTAGTCAGGCAAACATTTAAATGAGCTGAGACGATCATTTAGCAGCCTTTTTAAAAAACACTTTTTTACTGATAGTCGTTGGTCCGGTTTGGGGTGTGTTGTTCCAGGATAGTAGAAGTTAGAATAATTAAAGGAGGATCATTCCTTGTTGCTGATATCATCAAAATCCTAAACCACCTGTTGGACAAAATTAATCAACTTGAGGATCACCAATCAACTAAAAGAACCTTAAACAAGAGATATTTAGCATTCCGTATTCAACTGTTATAATGGTTTCAATAGTTTTTTTTTTCAGGTAATGGTTTCCATTTGTTTTAATAAATTTAAAGACACAGAACGAGCAAACTACACAAGGTCCCTTTTAGATTCCACCAAATTAATCCAGAGTCACAAGTATTAATATTAATTTGCCCATTAAGTCATTTGTATCAGAAATTACCTTTTGACCATCTAATCAATGTCAAATACATGATATAATGTGAATGACAGAGGAAGTTTTAAATGTGTTGAAAGTGTTAAATGTACATTTATATGTTGTTTACTCACTCACAGGATGACTGAAAGCTATTAAGTATAGGTGGAAATAAATGATTGTTAGTCATAGGACACAAAGAAGCTTCAGCCATTGGTTTATTTAAAGGATGGTTTAAATAGAAACCAGGTTGTGTGTTTAGTACTGCTTGATTATCAGTGCACAGAGAGGGTTTTGCAGCAGGACGACTGTTCTGATTTACACCGAGAGGACAGGCCGACATATTCTTAATGGAAATGAAATGATGTCCCACAGGCTGCCGCAGAGACAAGGACGGCTACTACTGGATAACGGGGAGGATAGACGACATGCTGAACGTCTCGGGTAAGAACAGAGACCAGTCTAACGCTGCCTTTCCTCAATCTTTTAAATGAATTGTAAATGTTTCTTAACAAACATTTACAATTCAATTCAAAATCTATAAATATTAGGGATGGGACGGTTTCTGAAAACCGTCCGAACCGTTCGGTTGGACTGTCTCGGTTCGGTTGGCGTGTGTTGCGTACGGTTCATGCTGCTCCTTTTTCTCATAGGGAAGTGTTTACACTCCAGAGCAGAAGGGGGCGCTACTGCGCCCAAAGCCAACCACCAGTAGTAAACAAGAAGAAGAAGCAAAGCAGCGTAGCCGATAAAATTCCGACGCGCCAACAGCAGTTTCTAGGTCTGCTGTATGGACCAGTTTGCATTTAGAGAGAAGCTCGTGTTGGAATTAGCACCGTTTCCTCTCTGGCAATGCCAGAATCTCACCTACTTTTAACCTAAGACTGTCACAATGATGTATCAAATGTCAGACTGCTTTTTGCTTTCAGTTTTAACCTGACTATAAAAGACATAATATATTTTCCTAACAATCAACATATACCGAACCAAACCGAAAACCGTGACCACGAAACCGTGAATCGAACCGAACCGTGGATTTTGTGAACCGTCCCACCCCTAATAAATATAGTTGTCTGTGTATAAATGTGTATGTATATATATCTTATTAGCAGTCTTTACTATCACAATTATGACAGGGACCTGATTTAACCTAATGAGAAAACTACAATGTTAAAGTTTAAAGGTAGATTTCCACACGATGGGAACGTTTTTTAAACATTTTATTTTTTACTCTAATACTTGGAACGTCCTGTAATGTCCCTCCAGGTCACCTTTTGAGCACAGCAGAGGTGGAGTCGGCTCTGGTGGAGCACGAGGTCGTGGCCGAGGCGGCTGTGGTGGGCCGACCTCATCCCGTCAAAGGAGAAGCCCTCTACTGCTTTGTAACCCTCAGAGACGGAGCAGTGTACAATCAGAGCCTGGAGGCTGAACTCAGGAAACTAGGTGGCACAACGCTTTTTTACAAGGTTTTGTTCCTGTGTTTAGGACTAGCCATTACAGCCATGTTAGCTGGGTTTTACATACACTAGCAAGCAGGTTTGAGGTCCTCATTTGAAAAAGAATAAAAAAACGTTTTATTCTTTGCTTGGTCAGACATTTTTTGTTTTGTTTTTTAACAATTTTACTCTTTTTCCCAAATATGGATTAAAAAAACAGCACAGAACTTTTTCCATTTGAATTTCAGCTGTTCTAAGTGTTTTTATTAAAGACAGAAAGCGGCCTTTGGTGTTGCTTTAGATCCACCAACATAAAACCCTTAGTATTTTTTTGTTCATTTTGTAATAATGAGGGTGGGAAAGTGTTATGGAGTGAGTGGAAGTGCAAATGCAGATTCTCACTTTATGAAATAACAGTTCAAGACATCAACATGTACTGTTTTCGTTTGGCTGAACAGTGAGGGAGAAGATCGGAGCCATTGCAACACCGGACTTCATCCAGAACGCACCGGGACTGCCAAAGACCAGATCCGGTAAAGACCTCCGTCTTTAGAATATTCCCAGAGACGCCGGTGGCGGGTTTTCCTCCACAGCCTTTTGTTTAAAGCCTCTCCTTTAGAGAGGACTCTGTTCTAAATTATGACCAATTCAATGCAAAGCGGACGCCTCGGAAATGTGAACGAATTTCTATTAGTCATAGAGATTTTCGGATTTAGTTTCAGATAATTGTAATTGCCACGAAATCGAATGCTTGAGATGTGGTTGAAGAGCTTGAATAGGTTTTAATGAGTAGGACTGAACTGTGGTGCAATGCTCCAAGGCTATAGAAGAGGGATAAATAGAGTTTTATTACATTTTTTTCTGCCTCATGCAAGGTAAAATTAGCTCCTAGTGTAAGCAGCACCGTTTTCTTAACAGCTCGCTCCAAATGAGTCGGTCCACCCCTCATCTCTCTGTCTCGCAGGTAAAATCATGCGGCGGGTGCTCCGGAAAATCGCCTGCAACGAGACGGAGCTGGGCGACATCTCCACGCTGGCCGACTCGGCCGTGGTGGAGGAGCTCTTCCTGAACAGATGCGTGGCGGCCGTGTGAGGGCGCTCCCCGTCCCGCCGCTTCCACGCCACAGCAGCAAACCCCCCCCCAAACGGACGGAGGCCCGCCGGGTAAACTCTGGAGCTCTCGGCTTTTTATTCGAAACGCGCCAAACCCAGCAGGCGGCCGAACTCCGGCTGCTGCCAAATCATTCCCATTCCTTCCACATTTGTAATCGCAACTGATCTCAATAGATTGCTTTGGGTTGTGGACATCCTGGAGTCGGGCGGAAAAGCTAAAAGCTAAACAAAAGCAACCCACGGCCGTCTGTGGGTGTGTAATCTGTAAAGTGCTACCACACTGGAACACTGATGCCTAATGCTGTCATTTCCCCCCGATGTTTAACTGAAATCTGCCTTTTAATCTGTAGTGTCGTCTTTAAATATATGCTGTCCTTTCTCCGTTCGATGGGATTAGGCTGAAAGCTTGCGTAGAAGTTGTTTGCCGGCATGCTCATGTGTACTTTTTGTTTCCGTGTATAGATGTGTGAAAGTCTTCCGTCGTTTCTCACAGAAACCGGGGAGAATGCGTTGTGACCGGCGCTGAACATTTATTGGCCGGCCGCGCTCAGGCGTGGGATGTTTTAGGGGAAAAAATGGCTAATCCAAGAGCTTGTGTGGTATTTAGAAAAATTAAATTGGAGATATTTAGTCCTCGTCAATCACTGTGTTCTTCTTATTGAATTAAACGGTTTGTTTCGGTTGTATTTTGGTGCAAAAAATGAATACATATTGCGCAAGTGAAAACAAAAAAAAGTTTCCTAGCTAAGGATTCACTTCAATGCGAAATCCCGTTAAACAGGAAGAAACTTCCATCTGGACCAGACTCGGTAAGGGTGGAGCTCTGCTCCAACCAGCTGGAGTTTGGGAGGATGGTAAAGAGAGACGATGAAAACTGCGGCAGCAGCACAGGGATGACGCAGAAACACAAATTATTAACTAAATTAAGTGCGCATGACGATGGGGGGAAAAGCAAAAAAGGAGAGCAGAGTGAGGAAAGGGGCATCATGGGAGGTCCCCCAGCAATCTGGGCTTGGAACAGCAAAACCATGGGATGATAACCAGTGGAAAACGACGCGTTGGATTGACAACAGGCAGAGGTAAAACTCTGCCTTGTCCGTAAGTACCGCTATCCACCACAGTCAGCTGAACAGCGAGAGATAGGCTGTGATTGGACAACGTGTCTGGCCCAGGGTGTCTGTGTTTACAGAGAGACAGCGCAGTGGCCTCCAACTGCTGAGAAGGAGCCTTAAGGAAGCGACAGGCAAAAAGAAGCTAAATAATGCCTCCAAAAGGATCCAAGGCCGACGGGAGACAAGATGAGGACTATGTATCACTCACGCAAGTCAAAGAGTTGCTGAGCCAGCAAAAGCAAATGTATACGGAGTTACTCCAACAACAACAGGACAATTTTAAGGGTTTTGTTAAAATCATTGTGGACACTACTAACACCAGAATGGACGCAATGACACGAGAACTACAGGACATTAAAACCAGCCTGCAATTTACACAGAAAGACATTGACGACATTAAAGTAGAAAGTGCTAAGCACAAGGACCGAAAGGACACGATGCAGTCAGACATATTGAAAGTATGTGAGGGTATGATGACTATCACGGATAAAATGGAGTACCTTGAGGGGCAATCAAGGAGAAATAATCTGGTTTTTGATGGAATTACTGAATCACCAAATGAGACTTGGGCTGAGACTGAGGAGAAAGTGAAAACTATTTTAAATGAAAAGCTAAACTTTCAACATAAGGTTGACATTGAGAGAGCTCACCGCACCGGTAAACATAGAGGAGACAGACCCAGGCCTATTGTTGTCAAATTTTTACGATACAAGGACAGATCAACTATTCTGCAGAGCACCAAGGCACTTAAGGGATCTAAGATTTTCATTAACGAAGACTTCACGGATGCAGTAAGGAAAAGGAGGGCGGAACTAATGCCGGACTTAAAAGCAGCACGTCAAAGAGGGGACATTGCTTACCTACGTTATGATAAGTTGATCACCCATCCACGCACTAGTACCCCTACATTATCCAACAATGTATGACAGACAGCCAGACATAGCTGACGTTCACTTCTGAAAGAGAAACATGCAACAGATCACGGCCTATGAGGATATAGAGTTATCCGTATTCCAACACAGAAACTATCATCAGCAAGATATTGAAACTGACATTGATCCTGATAACAACTTCTATAATGTCAGCAATGATAGTTGTCACTATTATAGCGATGATCAGCTCAACAATAGCATTAAAATGGAACAAAAGCTGTCAATAATTCACTTTAATAGCAGAAGCCTTTATGCAAATTTTGACAGCATCAAACAATACCTCCAACAACTTTCACAGACATTCAATGTTATTGCCTTATCAGAAACTTGGCTCAATAGTGATAAGGGCATAGACTTTGAAATCAATGGTTATGAAATGGTTTGTAAGAACAGAGAAAACAAAAATGGAGGGGGAGTAGCTTTATATGTTGACAAGAAGATTAATTATAAGTTGATCGAAACAATGTCAACTGTGATGGACAACATGTTTGAATGTGTGACTATAGAAATACTCGTAGAAAAAAGGAAAAATGTCTTAGTGAGTTGCATTTATAGAGCCCCTGGATCAAACATTGAAGTATTCAACAACTGGATAGAAGAAAAATTTATAACAATTAATCAAAAAATAACATTTTTCTGTGGGGATTTCAATATTGACCTTCTCAATCCAAATATACATAGAATGACTGAAGAATTTATTAACACTATGTTCAGTTTAAGCCTGTACCCTAAAATCACCAGGCCCAGTCGCATTACATCGCACTGCGCTACCTTGATTGATAATATTTTTACAAATGTGCTGGAAAATAATTTAACTAGTGGAATATTAATGAATGACATAACCGATCACTTACCAGTGTTCATAGTCTACGACTGTAAGTGCAAAACAGACGATCAAAAAATAGAGACGCATTACAGACGGGTTACGTCTGAAGAGACACTAAAAGCTCTAGAAGCTGAGTTGTTGGCCCATGATTGGAGATTAATATATAAAATGAATGATGTGAATTTAGCATATGAAGAATTTTTAAAAATATTTAAAATATTATATAACAAGCACTGCCCAATCAAACAATATAACAGGAAAAGCTATAAAAAAAATGAACAGTGGATCACAAAAGGAATACAAAAGGCATGTAAAAAGAAAAACAAACTTTATAGAGAATTTCTAAAACATAGAACGTCTGAATCAGAAAACAAATATAAGAAATATAAAAATAAGTTAACTAATATTATAAAAACATGTAAAAAGGACTATTATCATAAATTACTGGATAGGAATAAAAACAACATTAAGGAAACATGGAATATTTTAAATAGAGTTATTAGAAAAGCTAACAATAACAAATATCCAGACTATTTTATAGATAATGAACAGAATATTACTAATTTGAAAAGTGTCGTCAATAAATTCAATAGTTTTTTTGTTAATATAGGACCTCAATTAGCAGAAAAAATACCGACTACAAAAACTGCAACTCAGCAATATGTAATTGAGAATAATCCCAGCTCCCTATTTCTCAACCCTGTACTAGAAGAAGAAATCATAAACATTGTGAATAACTGTAAAAATAAGACTTCCACTGACTGTGATGATCTGGACATGAAAACTATTGAAATAGTAATTAAAGGAATCTCTAAACCACTAACTTATATTTGCAATTTATCATTTCAAACAGGATCATTTCCCAACAAAATGAAAATAGCGAAGGTCAAACCAATGTATAAAACTGGCAACAAACACCTCTTCACTAACTACAGGCCTGTTTCTCTTCTCCCACAATTTTCTAAAATCCTGGAAAAACTCTTTAAGAAAAGACTGGAACAATTTATAGAAAAACATTTGCTACTTATCAGCAGTCAATATGGATTCAGAGCAAACCGGTCAACATCGCTGGCCGTAACTGACTTAATAGAAGAAATAACCAACGCAACAGATAGTAAGAAACTGGCAGTAGGGATATTTATAGATTTAAAGAAAGCTTTTGATACAATAAATCATGAAATCCTACTTAAAAAATTAGAACGCTATGGAATTAGGGGAGTAGTTTCTGACTGGATGAGGAGTTATTTAAAGAGCCGGAAACAATTTGTGAAATTGGGAGATGTGGAATCTGATTGGCAGGAGACTGTCTGTGGAGTACCACAAGGATCAGTATTGGGACCAGTTTTATTTAATCTTTATATAAATGATATCAGTAAAGTGTCCAATGTATTAAAATTTATCTTATTCGCTGATGACACAAATATTCTAGCCTCAGGAGACAACTTAAAGCATCTTCTCTCAACAGTCACTTCAGAGATTAGTAAATTAAAGATATGGTTTGACCATAACAAATTATCCCTAAATTTGGACAAGACGAAATTCATGGTCTTTGGGAACTGTTATAAAAATACTGAAATCCAAGTTCAAATAGAGGACGTAACTCTAGAAAGGGTTTTTGCTAATAAGTTCCTCGGTTTAATAATAGATGACAAAATCAGTTGGAAACCTCATATTCAACATTTACAGAGTAAACTCAGTAGAAGTATATCCATATTGGCTAGAGCTAGACATGTATTGAATGCAAAATCACTTTATATTCTATATAACTCTCTGATTTTACCATATCTATCATATTGCTGTGAAGTGTGGGGAGTTAATTACAAGAGCTCTTTACATCCGGTAACCGTCCTACAGAAACGAGCCATTAGAATCATCCATAATGTCGGTTATTATGAGCATACAAACCCGCTCTTCATAATATCCAGAATTCTCAAATTTGACGAGCTTGTAGAATTTAAAATGGCTCAATTTATGTTCAAGGTATCTAAAAAGTTGTTACCTGAGCATATACAGAGCACGTTTTCTGAAAGAGAAGGGGGGTATAACTTAAGGGGTCACTCAAACTTCAAGATCCGCAATTTTAGAACAACAAGAAAAAGCTTCTGTATTTCAATTAAAGGTGTAAAGTTATGGAATACGTTACATGAAGATTTAAAACAAAGCAATAGTTTAACACAATTCAAAAGGAAGTACAAAGAGGTAATTTTCAATAGATACACACATGGGGACAGAAAGCAATAAGGTGGGTATTGAAGATAACAACTTGGTGTAAGGGTTTAGAAAGATAAACAGCATAAAATGGGAAAATGTATATGTACATTTTAGTAACTGTTACTTCTGACTGCCACTTTGATTTTGATTTATTTTTTTTAATGACAGTAGGACTTTAGTCTCAAGTGTTTAGGGGTAGGAGTTTATAAGTTCTCACTTCTTCCTACCCCATTTTGAGCATGATATGTTAACTGAAACTAAAAATCTGTATTTTCTCTTCTTTCTGATGCACGTCTTGCTACTGTGCACTATTTTATTTTTATATTTGTATCATGTTCTAATAAATTTCATTTCATTTCATAACCTCCTATAATATTTTAACTTTTCAATATATCGATATGAAAAGCAATTGGGTCTCGAGTGGTTGCGTTTTCCATTTTCATGATTGTAACTTTTAGGATAATTAGAACATTAGAACAGAAAAGTCTAACAGTGACATGATCACCTGCTATATATGATGCAGTCTCAAAGTTTTTGAAGAGGACGCCAACCCTGCTGATCTTTACCACTTAAAGAGAATTATTCTCCTTTTCTTTTTCTTTTTTTAATATCCCAATGTTTTCCCTAACTGTAGAAAAAGGTGAGCCAGCATCCTTTTTATAGGTGACAACCTACTTTAATCAAGACCCCCCCATAAACAGGAGAATATATATTACAACAAACATCCACCATTAGCTAATATGTCAACATATCAAGCATTAACTGTCACTGATATCTGAACTGTATATCTGGAAGTTATTCCCATTCATCTTGTAAGTGCATAGTTTAGTTCTCCCCTTCAATTTGCAATGGTCTCTCCCAGAACCTTTAAAAAAGGTTTTTCCGGCCCCCCAGGGAACACCTTGCAGAGGAATAGACAGGTAAGTTGTTGGCACATTATCAATGAAGTGGCAAGTGTCTATTTAAAATCTTTTCCAAAGATGAATTGTTATACGTGTGTTTATGTTTATTTAGTTAATAGAACAGGCTGACATAAGGAACTAGCAGCAGAGAAGAAGCTGCCGTAAGCTGAATTTGGAGAGGAGGCAGCCTATCACATATCGTATCTACCGGTGATGTAGAGCTGATGAAAACAACAGGAAAACACTGTGAAAGGCATGTTTTCTGTTCAGTTCTCGATTCAGTGGCTGGTGAACTCCCACAGATGTTTCTCAGAGTTTATCTTTTCCAATCAGGAATGGAATCCAAGCACTTGTAAAAAGCGTCACCTTTTTACAAGGAGATATCAAAAATCCTTGTTTTTCAACGATGTATGTTGGCATTTCCCTATAAAATGTAATGCTCATTTAAAAAAAACAACATTTTTAACATTCAAAAGGGACAAGAAGTTACATTTAAATAGCTCCCCAGTCTACATGGTATTTGTGATTCTCGTTCCTTTAATATAACAACTCATTCTTTATTTGTTCGCGAATCACTTCACATACCACATCTCCCTTTTATGTTAAATTCCCAAGTTTTCCCTTTCCTTAAATAAACTATAAAGTGGTCAAATAGATAACCTGGTTTCAGTTGGAGTTTGTGGCTCAGGACTGTCTCCATATAGGCTACACAGGCTTTTTGAAATTGTATTTTTTACAACTGTCAATATTTTCTTTTCTACTGAAGCTATATTTAATTTGATGTATTACCTAGTCATCTTAATTTAATGCTAGGCACTAATTAACCTTACAGAGCAAATAATAGTAATGCAAATGCACCATTAAACACGTGCCTTCTGTATTTAAACTGTTCAAAGCAAAAGCACAACAGTCCCGGTTGGTTTTTAAAGACAAGAAGAAAATAAATTAAAGAAATATTTATATATATATATATACATTTTATTTATTTTTTATTTAATTTATTTTTCATATATAAATATTTTTTCTTGACCCCTGTGAATACTGTGGCGCACTGATGGTCTCGCGCTGCTGGGGTGCTGGCGGAAGAAGCTCTCCCGTGACGTCAGACGTGCTGACGTCACGGCTGTGGGCCGCTGCGGCAGACTGTTAAGATGGCGTCGTCAAGGAGACTGAGCCGCTGTGGCTCCGCGGCCGTTCTGGTTCTTTTGGGTCTAATCAGCGTTCTGAACACGGGCCGCTGCGATGACCAGGTCCCGTTCCTCTTGTGGACAAGCGAGGGGTGAGTAAAGATGTTTTAGTTGTTTTTTTTCCTCCCGACGTGATGCTCCTGGAGGTATCCGGGTTGGATGGCCTCAGATATCTGGCAGGTGAACTGGCCTTATTTTTTATTCTAAATAAAGAAAACAAACTAGTTTTTATCCTAGAATCAATGACGGATTTTTTTTTAAATCCGGAAAATATTATTTCCTAATTAATGTGCTTCAGATTAAATATTTAATGTATATTTTAATAATTCATCTCTAGTCATTTTAATGCCGATAAATTATACCTGATCCTCGACATCACAATAAAATTAAAATTAAAATTCTGTCTACCAAGAGTGTTTTTCAAATCAGAAAATAATTTTGTTCCTAAAAAAAGAAATATTTCATACAGCATCCAAAACTTAACCCTAAATAAATATTGGTATTTTATAATAAGTAGTGATGTTTTCCATTATCAGGAGGCTTTTTACTGTTTTAATAGAAATATTTTTGTTAAACTTTTTTAGCAGCTTTGATGAATGACGTGTATGTGAGTGAGATGACAAATATCTGAATTTAATTTAAGAAAAACTGTCAGAAAAAAAACCCAGTCAGGCACATATGAATATGTAGATTTATTTCTTTCAATGATGATGGTCCTTGATTGAATAAGCACAATATTTTAGTAAGTGCTTTTTAAAGCGATAAATACTCTAATTCGGAAACTAGATTTATATAATGAATGAGAAAAGACTTCTGGCTTGTTTCATTGCTAAAGCGAAGACAATCGAGCAAAAAAGGAATGTGTACACATGTAAGGCTGAGTTGGGTTATGTCCTTTCCTATAAAGCAGTTGGCTACTTTGGTAATCCATCCCTAATACCAGTTAAATGCAGATAAGGTGGTCTGGAGGCTGGAACCATTGGATGAGAAGAAATTTGTAGGGTATTTTAGCCCTTATAGTGTTCAGACTGACTAGTCAGTGGATAGGGAGGACACTAAATGAAGAATATATAGATGTCAAACAGATCAAACCACAGAAAAAAGGTGAAAAATGACTTTTTTCCCTAACCCATAGTTGGCATAAATGTATGTTGAACTATCTATTTGGTGCAAAATGTTTCAATAAACCCCATCAGTTGTATCTTCTTAATGAAAGCTTTTGGTACTGATACAGAATAAGTTTTGTAGGAGGGTTTTAATGTGAGTTTTTGGAATTTTTTTACTTTATTTCATGGTCTAGAGGAGGTGGAGGTGGGAAGGATCCAGATGCAGGGAATGGGGAATACAGGGGGCATGTACACATTTGACAAAATCAATCAATCAATCAATCAATGTTTATTTATATAGCACTTTACAACTACCGGAGCTGACCAAAGTGCTTTACAGAATAAAAACAGATCAAACTATCGAAATATACAAAGACAAACACATTGGTGAAAGAACCCAGTATACAGAGATTTTACGTGCAAAAAGCCATCCTGAACAAATACGTTTTAAGTTGAGCTTTGAACAGTGGCAGGTCAGTAAATAAACACTTAAAGGGGCAGCAGAAGCCAAAGACAAAATCAGCAACTGAACTGTGGAAACGACAGGAATCCTAAAACTAAGAAAAAGCCAGTGATGGGCAGATAATACCGGGGCTGTGGAGCTCGTGTCAATCCTGTTTTGTTTTGCGCTTCTTTGCGTGAAGACAATTGAATAAATGATACAGGAATAACATCATTTTAAACAATGTAGTTATTTTTTATTGTAAAAAAAAAAGGCTCAACAGTTTAAAACAGCGGTAAATTGTGTGAGTTCTGAATCCACCTTTGCTTTGTTTCTCCACCAGGACCGCTCTGACCTGGCAGCCCCCTCCCACCGCTGGACACATCATTGGTCAGCAGCAGCTTGCCGCTTATTTGGAGAAAGCTCTGGATGTGGGCCCACAAAATGTGCTCCTGTTCCTTCAGGACAAGGTACGCAACTTTGAACCACTGGTTGCAGAGTTTATTTATTGGACAGGTGGAATATAGGTACAGCTTTTTATTTCATCTCTATCGCCCACCCCTCTTAAAACAGGGCTTGTAAACAGGAAGTTGATATTCCTGACAGCACCAAGACTAATGTGTAGGTTTGTGAGCCCGTGAGCAGATGTAGAATTTAATAATCTGTATTAATTTAATGTCATTGCTCAGTTTATAAAAATAATTTCCACATAAATGATGACCTGGTATGGCTGCAGTACGTGGGATAACAGTACAAAGCCCCCAATTGTTTAAATTTAGAATTAGTCCTATACTAAACAAAGCCACATGTCCACATTTGTCCTCAGCCCTGCTCCTTTTAAAACAGGCATTCACATAGTTTTTACTCTCATGTGAACTATGAAGCCACTAAGAAAAATAAATGCAGTAGGTCCTTAATTTTGGAACATTTTTCCATTTATATGGTAAATATATGTCCTTTACCATAAATACAAAATGTGTGTGTCCTACATAACTCGTGCTTCTCATGTTTTCTGACTGTTGTACTGGTCATGTCTGGAAGTCATTATCAACTCATTGTATCTACATTGCGTACAAACACTTATTGATTGTTTGTGTGTGTGTTTTTTAGATGAGTATAGAGGATTTCACCATGTATGGAGGAGCCTTTGGAAACAAGCAGGACACCGTTTTCCCCAATGTGGAGGTAAGAGAAGATGCTGAAACTCACGAGATCAAACGGCGAGTCTCAAATTTGCAGGAAATGCCAACAAAGCACACAGAACTCAAATTAATGGTGGATTCCTATTTGACCAGCAATAAAAATCTTAGTATGTCCAGTTAGATTCAGTCATATAGGTCATGTTACATTTTTTCACTTTGTTGTTTTTGTTCACTTCTCATTTAAAATGCTTATTTGATTCGATTGTGAAGAATAGATGTTCATATGTGCATAACTGAACCACCTCACCAATGCATGGGTGTTTTTTTTTTCTTTAATCACTTGAACTTTAATAATTTTACACAGAAAAATGCACAAAAGACATACTACAGTACAGTTCATACAAAAAGCACAATTTAACACACGATAAACAGTGGACAGACCTTGCACAGTCTATTTGGTGTCCAGTCCACTCTGTGTAGAATCTTAAATAGCACCAATGCATGGTTGGTTTTAACCTTTTAAATATTGAATAAGTCACTCAGGGAAGTATCCTTGAGCAAGACGCTGAATCCTGTTTAGCTGGGAACATTAGCTGGGATAAGACCTGCTCTGTAAATGTGCAGAAATGGATGAGCGGTACTGGTGTAAAAGGGCTTTTAAATTGTAAACTTATGCTACACAACTAGATTCTATTTACCATCTGCAGTTTGTGTGAACCAACAAAATAAACATGGAGTGGACTGGACCAAAAAAGGACACCATTAGTGTTTCTGTGAGATCAACCGGTCCTGATTAACTGATCATGACTCAAGTGTGAGCGTGATTACATCTATAAACTGTTAACCCGGAAAGGCGTAAAATGACATTTAGAAACATTATTCTCCCACAATTAAGATCTGGAGCAAGTTAATTGCGTTCAAGACTGAGTCTACAGATCTTGGATGTCAAAGTTCAAACAGTACAATTAGAAAAAGGTCGCACAAATATGGTTATTCTGCTAAGGTTGGGGAATAAAAGCCTCTTCTTGTAATAAAAAAAACTTTTAATAATGCTAGTTCAGTCTGGGTTTGTAAAGTTTAACAAAACCTTTAGACAAACATCCCCAAAGTGCATTAAAAGACGCAAACTCATGGAAAAGGGAAAACATGGTGTGTACACCTTGCAGTTAGGAAGCCTTACACCTTCCCTAAAAAAGGCAAGTTCTTGATCTCTGAAGTTTTTTGGCTTCTGGCTTTGAAAGAAAGTTCTAAGATGTGTCAGAAAGGAATATTAGTATTTGTAGACGGCTCTGATTGAACTACAGACAGTTTTTGACCTCGATCAATTCTTCCAAATGTCCCATTTAATGGTGCTACGTGGATAAATGGTCATAGGCCCAGATCACAGTTTAGGTTATTGTTAGGTTCTGAATTCGTCAGCTTTGAACTATGAGGGTGTCTTTTGTTTTTCCCCTAACTTTAAACCGAGCTGTGTGTCACTAACATGACTCTTGTGTGTTGCACGCCGTGCACAGGGAGCCCTGAAGTCGTCGGCGTCCCCTCTGCTGCTCCCCGCCGTGTCCTGGCCCGCCTCCAACGCCGTGATCGGTCAGCTCCAGAACCGGCTGGACACCTCCCCTCTGTACATGGACCCGGAGACCTTGAGCCACCTGAGGCTCAACGCCTCCTCACCCGCCCTGCTGGTGTTCAGGATGCCCTACAGCACACGGTACACACACGGTACACACACGGTACACGCACGCTACACACACGGTACACACACGCTACACACACGGTGCACACACGGTGCACACACGGTACACACGGTACACACGGTACACACGGTACACACACGGTACACACACGGTACACACACGCTACACA